ATACAGAGCAACAGCCTCAATTTGGAAGTGGGAAGAGTCTAGGTGAACCTCTCGGCGCCTTGGTTCAGTGATAGGGGGAGCCCGATCAGTTACGACTCGTTCTCGGTTGACGCCAAGGCGAGCGTAATCAATGCCGACGTTGGTCTCGTCCCGTTCTGAAAAAGAAAAGGGGAGAAGTCAATTCAGTTAGTTCGGCACATCACAAGAAAGCAAAATGAAAGAAGAAAAGAGATAATTAAAAGGCCTCGGCCCCAGCCGAAGAAGATTACCATCCCTAAACTTTCGGCTGAGGCCGACAGCTGCCAGCATATTCTCTTGGAAAACATAGTGCGTATCGGGGAGCCAAGTCTCCGGGATATGCTGCATTCGGCCGCTGCCTCCCCGGTTCGGCAGCTTGCCGAAGATGTTCTGCTGATTAAGGTTCGGGTCTGGCCCGCTATCTTCGGGAGGACCTAAACTTCCCATATCAGGATCCGGCTCGGCAAGATACCGGGGAGCGCTGAAAACGTAAGGGTGGCTCGGCTCCGTGGGTGCCCTAACCCAAATCCATTGACCTCTCCAGTCCTTGTCTGAAGAGTCGTTCGGCCACATGGTTAGGAACGGGGGCCGAGACTCAATCCGATACCACCCAGAGCCATGGCATCCGTGCCCACTTTGAATGTTTGGCACTAGCCGATGGAGCCTTTTGAAGCAATGCAGGTTCGGCACGTACCTGAAGAATTTGCAGACCCATAAGTACGTCATTACCCTTCGGATGCTGGTGGGGGTCAGCTGGCACAGGGAAATGTTGTAATGGATCAGCAAGTCTCGGACGAATACGTCCAAAGGGAACCTCAGCCCGTACTGGAGTTGTCTTGTGTACACCCCCACATACCCCGGGGGTGGACGGTGGATTCTATCGGAGGCCGTGGGCATTCGGCACCAATACCCATCGGCTTCAAGGATGTCGTAATGCAACTCAATTTGCTCGGCAAACCGGTACTGATCAGCATTCTCCACCCACCATGAGTAGGGGCGGTTCTTTATCATGGCCGAAGCTACTTCGGCATCCTCCCACTCTGAAAACCCTGGGAGGATATCCCAAAGGACAGCGGGAACTTCATCATCCCGTCCTGAAGCGCTCACCCCCTCAGCCCTCTGAGGAGGAGCCGAAGAAATGGGAGTCGCCCTAACCCCTTCAGCAGGGTCAGACTCTGTCCTTCGTCCATTCCAGGTCCCAATCCTGTCCCTGGGATCGGGGATTAGCCTTGCTCTTCTTGGAGCACGGGCTCCACCTCTAACTCCCCTCACCATTGACGAATTTCGAAGGAAAAAGTCGAAAAAGGGGAAAGAGTGCAAAGTCGAAGAAAAATGAAATAAAATCAAAGGAATTTACCTTGATCTGAAGCAAAAGTCGCCGATTTACGAATTGGTAGTGACAAGTCTCAGCTTCTAAGCTTAATGCTCGGGGAATTTGCGAAGTTTTGATGCGGGCTCTTGAGCGTTCTTGAGAATTCTGGGTTTGTGTTGATGAATGAGTGGGGAGAGAAGACGCGCCTCTATTTATATCTCCAGAAATGGGAATTCAAGGAGTCTGCGTTTCAATTTCTCTCAAGCACCCCACTAAGTAACCGTTAAACACACGACCTTGCAGTTAAATCGCCCACTACCCGTCCAACTTCCGCAATTATCCACATTAACTGTTGTTATCTCATTAATCATGGGTTAATTATGGTTTAAATTCACATTTTTGGATTAACAAATCATTCACTTCCCTCCTTTTCTGATTAAATCAAACCCGACCCGTCATCCTTCCAAATCGGGTCTGGGGGGCAAGTTGTTTGGGTCCAATTTAGTCCAATTGGGCCTGGTCACTGAATGATCCAATTAAAAGCCCAAGGTTAAGGTTCAACTCTCCAAATGTGCTAAAGTCAAAAATCAACATCCTCAAAGCCATGTCAAGGTCAGTCAACGGCCCAATCAGCTTGGCCCAGCCCAACTGACTTCCGGGCCCAATCCGCCTCCTTCATTAGCCAAGGTATAAAAGCCAACAATTTGGTCAATTCTTGGTAAGACAATAAAGCCTCAAGCAACTAAACTCTTGCACAGCTTTCTCTCTCTAATATACTGACTTAAGCATCGGAGGGGCCTTCCTCGGCGTCCCCCCCGAGGCTAGTTTACGTGTATTTGTTGTGCAGGAAACCCTCGGCTCCTGCGTCGTTCGGACCGAGACCAAGTTCCCTCAAGATAAAAGGATCTTCCGAGATTCGATTGTTTTCATCCGAAACACTTATTATATTGACTACTCTGGCACTATTTTATTTTTCTTCTTCTCTTCTAATTGTTAACACTCTTGTTGGTCTTGCTCACGCTGCTTTTAGGGTTCCCGAACATGACGAAGATGACGATCAAGAATTTTTTGATGCTGCCCAAACTCTTCCATGGACCAACGACATCATAAATGTCAATGCTTACGATAAAAAAAAGTTTATAATGTAATAGTTGTTGTAAACTGAATTGCAGGAACAAAAAAGTAGGAATGGTTACCGGGAATGAGATCAAGTCGCGGACTATGTCACTCTCTTTAGAACATTCACGGTACTGCCTCGAAGTTGTGCAAGCAACTCGTACGTAACCGGATGTCCCCCAGGATAAAACAGTCTCTCAAGATAAAAGTATACCGATGGATTTGCACAAAACCACCGGAAAGTGATTTTCCTCCAAAAACCATTTTCCAAAAATAAATATATTCTAACTTTATTTTTCTTTTTATATATTATTGATTGACAACTTATTTAAGTCAATAAAATTATACTCCGTATATATTTAATTTATATATTATAATTGAAATTAAAGATTCTTATTATATTAATATTATTTATGGTTTTTTTTTTCCTGATATATTACAATCACATGGATTTAATTTGTAGTACGAAATTTAAAAAAAAAACTACGTTACATTGCATCAAATTGACTTTAACACATAAATCTATAACTATAACTATATATCATATATCACTAATATATAAAGCCGGTCTCGCAACCAGGTCACGATACATCGACACTTGGGATTCCAATTTTTCGCCTAGTGTCGCGCCATGTAGACGACAAATAGATATTATTGTGATTAGATTAGATGCCAAATTAGATTAGATTGGATAAATTTTGTAAAATAAAAATATTGTATAGAGTTTTATATATTATCGATATACTTCTAATATTTCATTTATACAAAATTAATCATTACTTCTAAATAATATCTTATAACTCGATTCTATTTCCATCATAAAATTCGTTTTAAAAAGTTTTTTAAAATAAGATCTGCTTATAATGTAAAGCTGGACTCGCAACCAGCCACAAGACAACGACACTTGACATTCTACCTTTTCGCCAAGTGTCGCGCCATGTAAGAGCTAAATAGGTATTATTGTGACACATATAATGCTAAGTAAGCGATTTTTGAATAGATTTTGTAAGATAAAATTGTTGTATAGAGTTTTATTATCGATAAAATTCTAATATTTCATATAAACAAAATTAATCATAACTTTTAATAATTACCCTATAACTCAATTCTATTTTCATCATCAAATTCGTTTTAAAAAGTTCTTTAAAATAAGATCCATTTATAATATATTTAATCACAAAATTATATACATAGTTGGCCAAACCGTGATTTATTTTAAAAAATATTAGAGAATCAGTAAAAATAATTTAATTTGGTAAAAATACTTTCAATTTAGTGAAAATAATTTAAGTTCAATAAAAATAATTTCAAGTCAATAATAGCATAGATATCTATTTACTAACAAAACTAAAATAAAGTACACTCCATATGATATCGTATGTCTAACAAACTATTTGACTGTATTTAACATATCATAACAAATTATTTGACTGTATTTAACATTCAAGTAAAAATGTTATCTTAAAATTTTATCAATCATCTGGGCATCGCCTGGGCACAAAACTAGTTATAATATAAAGGTGAAACCAGAAATGACATATGTCATCCCCTTTTTAAATAATTTCACGCCAATTTATTTATTTATTTATTTTTTTGTCAAAGCTTCTTAGAGAATATTTAATACTATTCAATAATATTTTCCTTACTATTTGGTAATTATATTCCATTTATAAACATCAAACAAAATATTATTTGTTATTTAATATTATGCAATAATATTTTCTTACATATAACTTTGTGACGTAATCCATAATTATTTCATTAGTCGTGCATATAATACTCCCACTATTTTATTTAATATGATATAATTTTATTTTTATTTTTGTAATTACAAATTTTTATCTTATTTTGCAATTGGATAATTATTGTAAATAAATATAGTGTTAAACTAATAATAAATAGTGAAAATTACCGTGCATGGGACGAGATCTAATCTAGTATTTTACTATTTTATTCCCCTGATATCAATAGTTAGCGCAACAAGTCTAACCAAACAAGAGCTAGGCTCGATTCCATACCACTCCAAACTAGGGGTGCTAATCGAGCGAGTCGATCACAAGATAATAGATGCTCGACTTAACTCGAAAACTTTTTTTATGTGCTCAACTCGTGCTCGTTAAAGTTTCGAGCCAATAAAACCTGCTCAACTCATGCTCGATAAAGTTTCGAGTCGAGTCGGGTAGCTCACGATCTGCTCGTTAAAGTTTTGGCCCTTCTAAAATTATAGGCCTTTATAGTGGTTTTTTTTTTCACTTTATATAGTTTTCTTTTTATTTATTACTCTTTCTTTTTTGATAATTTAAATTAACTCTTATTAAGTGTCAAATTTGTTCATGGTAATAACTTTGTTTGTTAATTCTATATTAATATAATATATTAATGAGTTGCTCACGAGCTTATCAAGTCGAGTTAGAACTTGCTCAATTCGTGCTCATTAACATCTTGAGACGAGTTGAATTCGAGTTGAGCCAACCCGAGTCAGAGTTTTGACCGACTCGAGTTCGAACTGTTCAACTTGATTAGCACCCCTACTCCAAACAGCCTCAACCCAACCCAACCCAACCCAACCCAACAATCCGCAGTCAATAGGCTGTAGACTGTCCCTTGTTCTAATTTCCCACCTTTCCCAAGAATTTCACTTCCAAATTCAGATCCCAAACACTCTCTTTACAACTAGAAGATGTTCAAGGTGATCGGAAAACTTCTGAGCAAAGCTCCATTTCTGCAGGCTGCTCCAAAACCTAATTTTATCTCTTCATCTGTTCATGAATTCCAGTGCAGTAGAGGTAATTTGATTATGTATTTTGGTAAATTATTGATTTTTCTCCCTTTTTATGAATTGGGTTTTTTCATTACGTCAAATTAAGATGATGATTGTGAAATCTGAGAATCAATTTGAATGTTGGATTCTGTGGTTTGTGGGTTTTCATCATTTTTTTTATTGCCCACCAACTGTTTGTTAAAATGCAGCTTCTATCCAGTACATAAAAGCCTAGCTTAAAATTGCTGAAATGCTCACAATATGATTATGTTGTTAGGTTGTATATTTCGTTTATGTTTGATCATTGATTTGTTATCTGGGTTATTTTGTACTATGTTGATTTGTTAATCTTCCTATAGTTATTAATTGTAAATGAGACATTCTTAAGCCAATGGTAGTTTTAGAATTTGTATGCAGTTTGCTTAGAAAAAGGTGCATCCTTTTTTTTTTTTTTTGGGTGTGAATTTGAATGAGTAGTACTTAATAACTTGAATGCTTCTAGTGTTTGCGCATGGATATTTGATTGGAAACTAGGGCATTTTTGGGCTCACTGTTCTTATTATAATATTGCATTGTGATTGACATGAGACGAGGACTATTATGTTTTGTGAAGTTCATTGTTTGAAGTTTTTGGAGCTTGTGAAAGATGAGAAGAGGGGGGCAGCATGTGTGATAGTGAATGTCTAAGCCAAGATAATCATTACTTTTTTAGGTAGGGGATTTAAGAATTTTCGAGATAGCCAACTCGCATGTTCATGTTAGTAGTTGTTATTGGAGAATTGGGAATTCAGTCTTGGGGCAAGGGGGTCATGTAATTTTTAGCTGTAATATGTTTAATGAAATGGTTAGGTACTTAGGTGGAATAGTAAGAGGGTGAGTTTTCATACTGAAAAATGTGTTGTGATTGTTGCTCTTGGGGTTAGTGTGCTCTTGTGATTCGTGGTTGATCATCTACTCATCTAGCAATTGCTCTGTGCTAAATTTCTTCCGAAACATCTGTTGTATATGTATGCTTCTTTGCTACGGAGTATAATTTTAATGTTTGTTTGGTTGAACAAAGGAAGTAAAATTACCTTGGAAGATGCTTCTCCATGTAGTTTTGATTCATAGGAGTAGCTTTCTTTTGTTTGGTTGATCATAGGAAATTTTACTTCCCATTGGAAATTCCACTTACAGACTTACCTAGGGGGACCTAGGTATTTAACTTTCCATTTTGTGGGTAGTATGGAGTGCAACTTCCCATAGTTTTTCCAATCAAACAACCTCATCTTCTCCCACATCCTAGGAGTCCTTATTTTCTATTTTACTGCTAGGTGACATGAATTTTGATGGCAACCAAACAAGCACTTAGTTTCTTCATTGATTGATGACCAATATTTCTATTTTACTGCTACTGTGCACATCCAATTAAAAAAAGTGTAATTTAACACAGCTTCTAGTATTGATTATAATTTATAACCAAATTCAGAATTCGTCTTTAACACAGTTGTTGATTGTTGTTTAGTCGACATTTAACTGGTGAATAATACTTGTCAGTTTCTCTATTACTCTTTCATTATATGGTTGTATTACACCATATGATTGATTAGGGGATCAATGATAGGTCTAGCTTTTGTGCTGCTTGATTGCAAAAAGAGAGATTATGCTTGGCTGTTTTATTCTATACCTTGTTTAATGGTTTGCTTCTTATATTATTACCGACCATGATTGGTGATACTGATGTAAGAAGTTCTCTTAATAATTGGTACTATTTACTGATTTTTTTTTTTTTTTCCCTTGTAGGTTTTTCTACTAAAGTAGGCGCATATGTTGGTGACAAGCGAAACATACTAGACTACCATCGTAGACAGCTAGCATCTAAGTACGAGCTGAGAAGAAAGCTGTACAAAGCACTGTGCAGAGATCCCGAGCTTCCTCTAAGCATGAAAGACAAATTTCGCTACAAGCTGGCCAAACTGCCAAGAAACAGTGCCTTCAATCGACTGAAGAACCGCTGTATCTTCACAGGGCGTTCTCGAGCTGTGTACGAGAAATTCCGGATGTCTCGTATTGTTTTCCGTGAGTTGGCATCTCAAGGCCAATTGCAGGGTGTAAAGAAAGCATCCTGGTAAACATCATATTTTCCAATGTATTGGAACACACCTGCTTTGCTTTTGAGTTTCTCTAATCAGCAGAGTACAACTGATCTCTTGTTATGTCTTCTTTTTCTTTATCTTCATTACAATAGCTTCATGCTTGGGGTGATAAATTTTTATTGTTGTTTAGTTGATTAACTATAGCCACTCTATTTCATGGTCCCGGTGAAACAATTCTTTCTACGAATGTCAATGATGAAAACAGAACATAATACGATGATACTGATAAATATACAGCTGAAAGGTGTACTTCATGTCCGATATTTTGATGCTTTCCTAGATACAGGGTTATGTGTTGGCTACTTGAAAACAGAGAAGAAAAACAAAAAGGGCGTACAAGGGCCAATTTGAACAAGGAAGTACACTTACGTTAAATAACATGTCTAAGTATAAAATTTCCGTTTTTGTATGTCGCAAATCTATACACATTTGTGTAGGCATATAGTTGTATTACTAGTATAAAAGTTAAAACCAAAGTGCATACAGCATAATCACGAATTGCATATTGCAGTAATGCAATTCTCACGCATTTCTGGTATCAAAGATTTTTAATCAACAAAGACAAACTCGCACAAATATTTGCATCAAAGTTGAGATACTATTCCTCATTCAGCTATAACAAAAACAAATGCTAATTTCCAAATCAATACAAGAACAAATTATACAAGAATGAAATGATATTATTGGTTGAGCAAGCAGTGGCTCAGTTTATTCAATTTACTCCCCATGAAATTCTCATTCAAAATCTGTAGTCAGTTTTCTGAATTCGCTCAGAGCAGAACTTGCTGCATACAGCGCCATTTTTTTCACCTAGGAAAAAAAATGAGCAGAGAATCAATAAAACCATTTAAATTGAAAGATTTACCCTCTGACAGTACAGGTGACTTGAAGAGAGATGCAAGTAGATTGCAGTAGAGTTAGTTATTCGAACAAACAAGTATCCTTAACACATCTACAAACTTTAATTTCGGAGATATGCACATTGAGTTTGGTAAGAATGGAATAGGCAAGCATTGCATTTTGCCTCTACCATAATATCAGAGCTCTAAACATAGATAAATGCGACAGGATAAGCTGTAAGATAGAGAGATCACATTCACAAACCTCCAATTTGTCCTCCTTAGATCTGTGGTTTTTGGGGAGCAAGCGAAACTCGTCTGTCAATCGAATGCATTCTTGAACGTTCTCAGGGGACACAAAGTCGAGGGCCACTTTAATGCAAGACTGAAAAAAGTGATAACATTTTGGTAAGGTAGTTCTTGACATGCAAAAGATCATGAAAGATGCAAGATGCTTTGTGCACAGTCTGCACACCATGTTGCTTGAATACAATTTCATGTTTCTCAAGGTGATGGAAAGATCTAATGAAGACCAGCTCCGTAAGAAACTTTAAAGTGACAAAAGTAAACTACTCCGTATAAATTAAGCTTCACAGAAGACAGATAAATTTACAAAGTGGCAATAGTTAACCAAGACAAATAATTCTGGCCTTCATTCACCCCTCCCCCTTTCTTGGAGAGAAAAGGGGAGGGAATACAGGGTTAAATGATGAGACTAATTTAAGATGGATAAGAGTCTCCCTCAAACAACAGATGCACTATAATATGACATTAAGCTTCATGAAATGCGTGGATAAAATGGCAGGGGTTAGAAAGAGAGGTTCATCATAAATGTTGGAAGTAAATAAGAGTTTCACAGGAAAAATTCTACTCAGGAAGTGTGGCACCTCCTCAAAATGAGTGCAAGTACATCATCCCTCAAACTCTCATTGCCAAAGCTCTAAACAATCCCAAATTAGACATAGATATCAATATCCTATCATAAACTTTTACCCGTAGTTTTGTATACCTTTTGGGCACCAAATGACAATTCTATGACGTCTACAGTGTAGGTAGACTGAAACCAACATCTTTCTTTGCCTAAATCAAATTCTTTTCTTTTCACTGTGATTCCCTTTAAAGCCTAGCATGACCATTGAGAGATCTTCAAGTTTAAGAATTTCTACGTTCAACCATCAAGCAACTACATCAAACCCTAAGGTCTGTACATATGAAGAATTCACCATTGAATTAAAAATTAATTACATCATGATGTATCAGTCCAACAAATACGATAAATAAACACAAAAGTTTATGTTGAGACTGAGAATCATCAAATGAGATGAAACAGCCTGTGAAGAAATGGAAACTTTAGAAGTAAAACAAAACTAGAAATTACAACCAAATTTTTTTGAGGAAACTTACTAATCTATTTCTCACTTGATGGGGACATCCAGCAGGTATAAAAACAGCCTCGCCCAAGTGTTGTTCAAATGTCCAAGGTTCCACACCTGCAACATATTCTGTTTAAATTTGCTGAAAATTTAATGAAAATAGGAATACATACACCAAAATAACTATGCAATTCTTACCAAACTCTTCTTTCAGCTGTTTCTTATGGATTTCAGTCATATAGAAAGTCTGGTCATGAATAGGATGGACAACCTAGGGTAAATGAGGTCCATCAAAATTAAAGGGGTTAAATGTTGCTAACAATAATATCTAGTTGAATAATCAAACATGTGTACAGTCCAATGAGTCAATATGACCTACTGATTTCACAGGAAGATTGTTAATGTGGTTAAATTCTTGCTGATGCCTTTTTAGATAATCAAGAAGTTTTGGGACATCCTCTCTTCTAAAAATATCCCAGATAGCACCTTCACCGACTTTATTTTCATCAAAATCAGGTTTTTTAGACAATAATTCATGCTCTCCACCAGAGCATGAAACCTCCAAAGAATGATTAGCACTTGTTACAGCACCAGCTCCATCAGCAGAGGGAAACTCTTTGGCAGCAGAACAGTTCAGGATAGCATCATAATTTTCATTAGTTTCACGGTCACGTTGATCCGCAGACACTGATGTTTCTGGAAATTGGCCGACGGAGCTTACAGAGCCATCTCCATCAGCAGAGGGAAACTCTTTGGCAGCAGAGCAGTTCAGGCCAGCACCAGAGTTATCATTCGTTTCATTGTCACATTTATCTGAAGAAACTGGTGTCTCTAAAAAATGGCTGATGGTGCTTTCAGCACCAGCTCCATCAGCACAAGAAAACTCTTTGGCATCAGAACAGTTGAGGGCAACATCTAAATTTTCTTTAGTTTCAGTGTCACTTCTATCTGCAGTAACTGATCCTTCAGCTTCATAAGTATTTTGCAACTTGTGTATGATCTGCTGCTGACATGAGCTAATATCAACCTTTGTTGTGTGCATCAACACATTAACCTAAAGAAAAAGCAGCAGTAGTCAAGACCAATAGCATGCTCATTTCTCAATGCATATGAGCTCAAAAACAGAATAACGTGCAAATGAATATCAGTGCATTTATAATTTGGGGAGGAGACAGAAACTAACTCATACCGCATCAGATATATCACAGTGCAGTTTTGTCATAGAATCACCTCTACCAAGCTCTTCTTCATAACCATATGCAATATATGTTTTTGGTCCCAAATCTGGCTTTGGTACACCATCAGGAAGTTTGGTAACAAGATTGAGGATACCACATTCAGGATGGGTGTAGTCGCTATATGGAAGCATCATGATAAACTCAGCAAAGTGCCTTGGCAAGCATTCTTCAAATGAATTCGAAGCAGGCCAATCCTTCAGTTTTAAAATTTCTGGCCAACCATTACTATGATTCCGACCATGCAAATAGCCCTTGAAAAAGTGATAGATATCAATCTCTACCTGCAAAAGGAAAATGACTTTTTTATATGTATCTGGGCCTTCTATCCTTGAAGAAACATGTAATTCTTCCCCAGAGCAGGATTGCGACTAAACAACAGGTTCAGCAAAAATCCTAGTAACATATACAGATAATTTATTAATTCTTAGGGAAAAAAAAGAAGAAAAAAACTGCAAATTCCATTCACCCAGAAGCAGTTATAATACTTCCAGTCAGTATAAGGTAGCAATGTGAAACTTCAAAAAATAAGACCAAAAGAATTAGTGACTGAAAACTGGATTTTTATTTGTGCTGTTTTAATATCTAGAAAGAAAACTGAGATTATAATTCTGAAAGAACACAACATTATTATCAAGTAGACAAAATTTGATACCAATTCTCCCCACAAGGAGACAGGAGATAGTAAACTTAATTCTAATTACACATACTCTTATAGTTTAAGACACAAATGTCTCGAATTAATCAAATAAGGTTCCATCACCAAGTATGACTTGCTTAGAGGGTAACAAAGGATAATATATACCGGTAGATAGTGTAAAGTACCATTTAACATTTCCAACTTCTGAAATAAATTGATAAGTCTATCATATAGCAAGTTCAGAATCATAACGCATACCTTGAAAGCCTAGCACGTACCTCACACCAGTCCAAACAATCTATGGCCTTTACATTAAGTGTATCCTCCTTCATTATCTTTTTGGCTCCTCTGAAAGCCCTCCACATCACCATTGGCTCCCAACTCAGACCAGATCCTTCTTTCAAAACATCTCTAACAATCACAGGTTCACCTTGTGTCCAATGCCTTTGAAAATGGTCAATATTAAGTTCATTCATACTTGAAACACTCGGACAGTATAGAAAGTTATCACGCATATTTAACCTTGAAGCTGCCTTTCTTCTTTCAGAGGCAATACTTTGAGCATCTGAAGCAGTAGGGAGGCAGATGAGACATTCCTGACTAAAATCTGTCTCTGGCAAATAATAATCAATAGTGACCTTATCAATGCTTTCAATCACTGTGTCCACCCAATTAAGCTCAAGGACACGTCTCAGTTCAAGTATGTGAAGTCCACAACCACCATGTCCTTTCTGAGGACAAAGAATACTATCATTTATGTTCATGCTCCCACAACCTGTAGGGGGTAAATAATTTCCAACAGTAAACACTTTGCTGTTCCCCATCTTATCAGCATCATGTTTCTGGCTGTTTCCCGTTATATCATGATTCAAGGAACCTCCTGTAGAGCGACATGAAGATCCAGCTTCAAGGTCATCAGACCTTAAACCTGATCTCAATTCTTGACAACAGGATATACAGAGATCATAAGAGCAAACAGAATTGGGGCAGCTTCTGTGGAAATTTACAATGGATGTGTTGCAATTATCACTGTTGAATAAGAATATTGTTAAGGTCCAAGTGCTTGACATAATTCTACTATCTGACACATAAAGAATCTTCATAGGGGAAGAAAACCAGTTTAGTGAATATTCAGACTTATTGGACAAATATTAAACATCGAAATCTGAATATGTGAGGGAAATTACACTAACTAAAGCTTTAACATGGTGGGAGAATTAAGAAACTGTGAAACTATAACCAGTAATTTAGCCAAAAGATACACATGTTATGAAGAGAAGAAGCATCACAAATTACAGGGACACCTAATTTTCAATTAATTTATCCGAGCATCATATATTATTGCAAAATTACTTCCTATTTGATTTTGACATGCATTTCAAATTCCCCTTTTAAGCTTTTAATTTTAAACTTCACAATTATTGATCCTGACAGTTAAAGCAATAAAGAAGCCACATACAAACGTCAAAAATTATCTTTTCTGTATATATTTTCACTAAGAAACTCAGCAAGAGTAATTAATACCACTTATCAGGTTCAAACTCATAGCCCTAACATAGAGTAATATAAAATGGTGGAAACAATAAGTAAAAAAAAACTAACATGCGTAGAAAAATCAAGGGAAATTATTTCACAAGTCAATATTGCAATATAGATGCATATTGCATATTCATACACCCAGTCACCCTGTCCAGGAAGTCCAACTTGCAAGTTGCAAACACTAGATGTTTTGATTCTAACAAGCAGAATTATGGGCACATACCAATATATCCGATCATCTTGATCAAATCTAGTCTTCATTATATCCTCTTCTTTAATTGGTTTGCCTACCAAAAAAAAGGAAGTAAAATACAAGGTTAAGGCTCTACCTAGAATAAGCAACAGTCGGAAACATGAAGTCCACTATGACATCAAAAGTCGTTCAATGTTTCCATCCTATTTCTAGTTCTATAAACAGCCAAGTTTCTATCATTCATTAATATAGCTATATTATCTAATGTCTATATACATCAAACAAGATTGCGCACCAAGTATTCTAGCTTCCACTTCCAACTCAGCTCTCTGCTCCTCTTGTATGCATTTTAGAATGGGATTGATTTTGCACATCAAGTACAAAAGCCTATCTAACTTGACCTTTCTATCAATGTCTCTCTGTCTGTCCTGAAAACATAAAATTTATCAAGCATCTAATTCCAAAGCATCAAGAGTAGCAAACATCGAACAAAGCAAGAAACAGGCACCAGAACCTTCATAACTAGCTTCTCCTGGAGGCATATTTTACAATTGCAATTCCCACGACAAAAAGGGCACGCCTCCCGTACTTCCTCCCTTGTTCTTTCAGGATACCTGATCCATTATGCTTATTTTGAGACCAAACATTTATCTTGCTGAAGCATGATGATAAAGAAAAAAAACTTTGAGGTGTAAATGATGGTTAAGACTTCAGAGTGACGTCTAAACAGGATAACAAATATATCCCAAATCCTAAGTAGATGAAAGAACATGGCTTTAATTTACTATTTATAAAGGAGTATAATTTTAACTTCACTGGTAGCGATGCTGTTTTAGTATATTACCACTTTATAAGGCATGGGAAACAATAACGTTTCTTTTTGCAGAATGAGCAAGCAATGATATCATTCTTTTCGCTTCTGCACTGGTGACACCTTGAGCAGTGCTCTCTTCTAGAACCAGCGGCAACCTGAAGAACCAAATCTGATGAGAGTGGCATACATAACTTAAACATGACATTAAAAGACATAATCACAAAAGCCATTGTGCAGCTCATGCACAACAACAAAAATGAATGAATTATAGCATCTTTTTTGTCTTGCTACTCATACATGATTGTACATAGTCTGAAGATCTTTTCATAGAAATAAGCAAGCTCTGAAATGGTATATTTGGTCATTCAAAGAAAGCAGGACACTTCATCCAACACACAAATTTGACCAATAGAGAATTAGTTTTTAAGCAGGACACTTCATCCAACACGCACTTCACAACAATGATTGAACACTTCCCTCATTTCTGTTAATTAGTTTTTAAGGAATTGAGAATTGGTCAATCAAACTTATGATGGATCTATCAAATACGGAGTACCATAGAGCACAAGGCTGATACACACTAAAGTAAATAAGCATTATTTGATTCCATCCATAAATCTATATTCTTCCCTGTGAGTTCAAGGCAGATAAATACGTATACTAGCTTTGAATCTGGCATTGTAGCACTCAAGAAGTTTTAAAACCAACAATAAAGCAAGCAATGTCACGGCTTCTATACATTAGTCCATTTTTTCCATGACTAACATAAGTGAGATTTGACCCATGAAAGATTATTAATGGTGTGAATCATCTCCAACATTTAGATAAATATCATTATTTATTAGTTTACCTAGCTTCTTGTAAACTATGTACAAAGACTGCAAATCTAGTCAGTGAAAATGTAAATATTAAATTCTAAAGCTGCCACTCTGAAGATGAAGTTTTGTCATCACCAGCTTATTTCTTTCTTCCAGTTCTTATCACAATCATCAAAGAACTGACTGTCAATCTCAAAAAAGCTTTACCTCGGGCATATTTCTCGCTCTCAGCCGGTAGTTAGAGACCTTTATCTGAGGTTTCTGCTCTTTAATTGTTGATTCATGTAGCATTTCAGCACCATCCACCTTTTCATTTCCACAATGTCGCGGTAAGTCCACAAGTTCCATGTCCTTTTGCACAACCAAACCTCTTCCTCCAGGTAGTGAGCTAATAACTTTGGGAAGGACTCCATCAACAAGGATTACCCTTTTGTTTTTCAAACCTCTAGGCCGTCCACGCTTCTTCTTTCTCCGGCGTACTTTAGAGCCAACATCAGCAGGCTCATTTCTCACAACCTGCACAACTTCATCACCTGCCTCACTCACTTGTTCTGCACCTTCTCCACAACCAACAGGCTCATCAGGTTCATTTCTCACAACCTGCACTACTTCACCACCAGCCTCACTCACTTGTTCTGCACCTTCTCCACAAACCCTTCCCCTTCTACAAATCTTCCTCTTCTTCTTTGTGGAACCCTTAGGACGCCCCCGCCCACGCTTCTCTACCTTCATCCCTTCCTCTTCCCCTACCTCAGCAACCATAACCACATCCTCTTCCTCATTTTTCGACCCTATAGAACGCACACGCCTCTCCACTTTTTTCTCCAAACCCTCTTCCTCCACCTTAGCAACCACAATCACCTTCTTCCTTCTCAACTTCAACCCCTTAACCCGGGCTCGCTTCTCCACCGTCTTTTCCACTTCCCCTCCAACCTCCTCCACCAGAAAGTCCTGAATCACATTCTTCTTCCGCCTTTTCGAACCTTCAAAACTCACCAATGCACAACCCCCATCATCAATTCCTTCCCCACTAACCACCTCTCCACCATTCTTCCCCATTTTCAGCTTATTCTTCACACCCTTTGCCCGCCCTCGTTTCTTCTTAGGCATGATCATCTCCTCTTTAACATTAGGAACTTCTTCATTACCCAAACCCTCATCAATTTCTTCTTCAAAACCCTGAATTTTATTCTGATCATCTTCTTCACTATCAGACTCAAACAATTGCCTAACCCTCTTCCCAATATCATCATTTCCACCAAAATTCACACCCATTTCACCAAATTGCTTACCATCATTTTGATAATCTATTTGATCATCCCTTAATTGTTCTTGGTTTTCAACCACCATTTTCTTGTTCTTGTTCTTAGACCCTTTGGGTCGACCCCTTTTCCTTTTTTGCCCCTGACCCACCATTTGTTTTCTTCCAACTTCACTTAATTTGCCTTGATCAATTCCATCAAAATTCCCCACCATTTTTGTTCCTGCGTTGTTTTCAATCTTTCTCTCTTCAAACACTTCACTGAACAGAATTTCCGGTTTATTACTATTCTCATCTCTACGAACACAACCGCCTCCAGGGGTTATAAAGTCATTTTGAACCCCCAATCGACAGATACCGCCACCCGTTTCACCAAGGGGAATGTAGTAATTTCCCTCCAACCCACCATTAAATGCCGGTTCAGCCACCCTCTCAACCATTTCCTTTAACCCCGTACTTAAGTCACCAAGGACAACATTGTCTTTTCAATCTCTGATGACAACCCTCTCTTTCGAATCAAACCTCGGTTCACCAAGGTTAGCATTGTCATTTCCACCCATGCCACCATTAATTGCCGGTTCAGCCACCCTCATAGGCCTCATCTCCATTTCCTTAATATCCATCCCACTCAATTTACTAAGGACAACATCGTCATTTCCTCCCCCAAAGACAATTCCATCTTCCAAATCGATCCTCGGCTCACCAAGGGCAATATTGTCATTTCCACCCACGCCACCATTAACCACCAGTTCAGCCACCCCCTCAACCCTTTCCTTAAAACCCATCCCACCCAATTCACTAAGGATAACATTGTCATTTCCGCCTTTCGTATCGATCCTCAGTAAGCTCGCTTCACCACCAGTCCACACTGGCGTAAATTGAGACCCAAAACTACCCTCACCACCACCTCCTCCAAGGGTGTTTAAGTAGCTTCCCACACCCACTTCACCAAGGGCAATACCGTCATTTATACCAAAATCCGGTTCACTCCGACTCGAATTCTCCTGAAAATCAAAATCAATAACCGGTCGATACGGCTCAACAGCAGAGAAAGAAACGGACACAGAATCTCCGTTACTCATTCTCTCTCCTCCCGGATAACTTCTCCGACGATGATTCTCGCCGGAGATTCCCTTCCCCCTTCCAACGGAGAACTTTTCCGGCGAAGTTGTCGGGAAACGCTGAGAAAATAGTGTTTCTGACAGTAAGATCTTCCAGGAATAGCTCTTTCACGGCACCTCCAATTAGGGGTCCCAGTTCTCCGGCATATCTCGCCGTCTTCCGGCGCCGGAATCTCCATTTTCTCTCTCCTCTTTCTCTATTATAAGAATGAGAAAATGGGTTTTTGGGGTGATGATTTTAACGAGGGAAGTAAGATAAAAATGAGTAAATGTGACAGATTTTTGAAAGAAAGAAAGAAAAGATTGTGATTTTGATTTTTCAATTGAGAAGAATGAGTGTCATTTTATGTATCAGCATTGATTTGGGTCCTCACTGTTTTTTGCTACTGACAACTGATGATTCTATTGTCTCGAATTTAATCACCTCATTTTTTCTTTTTCCTTTTTCTTTTTTTCTTTTTTAGGATTCTTCGAAAAAGACAGGATTTTTTTATAACAATTTAATTCTCTGTACTACAGAGCAATTTATTGTTGAATCTATTGTACACATAAAACTTGTTGATGTATAATAATTAAAATCTAGTTTTACTTTATACGGAGTACAACTCATTTTGCTAATCAAAACTATTATATGGAGTATACTCTTTTTAATTGAGTATGATTTTGCACTAATTTGATATTTTATTGAGTACGCAGATTTTTTATAAGAATTTGTTAAGTAATTTGTATTAGGAGTAATAATTAGTACTCCTTTTATTCCTTATTTACATGTCTACTTTTGTTTTGGGGGTTTTTAAATTACATGTTTATTTCTATTTTAAGAATGAATTAATTAGTTTGATAGTACGGAGTATATGGTTAGTAATCACTGCTTAATAATTCTGGAAAAATTATACTCCCATTTATTTTTAAAATAAAAAATAATCACGCTGTCACATTATACTTTTCTCATTGTAAAAATTTTATAGATTTTGAGGAATTTGGAACTGTATGGTTTGAAATTATTATTTACTTAGCACATAGTAATAATTGTCCAATACCTTGCCTATTAATATAGTAATACTACTAACCATTTTAAGTTTCGGATATAGCGGTCAATTGACCAAATTGGGAAGAAAAAAGAAAGGAAAAAAAAAAAACTTAACGACAATTTGGTAAAAAAAATAAAACCAGGCGACATTTAAACCAAAAAATCTGTTTTATTTTTCCGGCAAACTCTTCAAAAATCCTAATTAAATTGTTTTGTTTTTTTAAAAATTTATTTTTTTTCATTTAAAATTTAAATTATTATGTCATCTCCTTTTTATTTTTGCTATTTTTTTTTTAAGAATTAATTTTGCTAAATTTTGAATTACATAAAATTATTTCCAACCCTTTTTTTAAAAAAAATTGTTAATAATGAGTAGGAAAATTAAGTGAAAACTAGTATTTAAAACTTTTTTTTCCTTAAAATTTTTATTTACTTATAAAGAGTTGGAAATTTAGGTGAAAAAAATATATTTTTTTTATTGGTAAAAAAAAACCACGAAAATGATATCAATCGCAAGTAGTTTGTTGGAAATTTTGTATTTTTAGGCTTAATTGTCGCTTGAGATTATTTTTTACCAAATTGTCGGTTAAGGTTAGATTTTTTTACCAATTTGTCGCCGGAGCAATTTCTTTTTCCAATTTGTCGCTATAGGTATTTTTTTTTTTTTTTTTTTTTTTACCAATCTGGTCAATTGGCCCAGATCCAGCACATATTTTCAAACTTAGGAAATTGCTGATTTACTGTAAATTTATAACAAGTTAACCATTAACGTTATTTACAATTTTACACATACACAAAAATAATAGCAAGCGGTTCTATGGTTAGTGCTTAGGCAATCGGACTATGAATCCGATAGCTAATTATTAGGTTGTTGCTTTACTTGAGAAATCTGTACACATCATTACTTCGTATAGACAGTCGTATCAAACTGATTTTACCAAAAGAATTCAAGCTCGCTTGGATTTGTACAATTACATTGTGATTCTAGCAATAGATTTGTTCTTTTCTTGGAAAAATCGAGTAATATCCTAAATTAGGACAATACATGACAAACTGGCAACTAATTCTAACCAAGGGAGTATTTCAAACGTGATAAGCATTCTGGTGTTCAGAAAATACTGGGGTAAGCCTAAACTCCCCAAGAAATTTCTTTCACACGCCGTAAAAATACAAGTTAGATTAGTTTCAAGCCAAAACCTAAGTTCACGTTCTAGCTGAAGGGCAAGATAAGAGATGGAAGGAATTCATTTGGTACCTCACAATGCGATTCCAAGTTCCAACTACGAAGAACCTACAAATTAATCACCCAACTAGAACCTAATCTGCCACCATGTCTGCAGCCTCTGAAGTAAAGGGAGAAACTTGATTAGCTCCAAACCAAGATTTTTTCAACGAGGTCATAATAACAGCCTTAGTCCTCTAACAGGAACATATCATTGACTATCGAGGAACCTGTCTGTTTTGTACAGCAGCTGTCTGCAATTGTTGCTGCCAATTATCATGATATCACATTAGCATTCAGCAATTTCAATTACATATTCACCAGAAATGGCATGCAGTGAAAAAGAAAAAAACTACCTGTGCCATGAAAGTCGAGCTATCAGCTAGAAACTTAATAAAACTTTGCTTTTTCGAGTTGAAGTTTTGCTTTTCATGCTCTAACATTGCCTGTTCTCTCCGAATATCTTCCTGAATTCTCTCCTTTTCCCATTTCTTCTGTTTTATCTGATTTTCAAGCTCGTAATACTTGTCGGGGAGACTTGCTCTATTGGAGCATTTTGGGAACCTCACATCTACTTCTTCCCTTGTTTCAGTAACATTGAGAAAAACAACAGCAAAGTAACAAATAAGAGGTTAATTCAATCAAATTTCAGAAATGATCACAGAGAAAAAAAAGATAAATAAAGTATCCTGGAATTACTGAAAATAAGAATAACTAAATAAAGTCTATCCAGAAAATTCTAGCATGGAGGATTGAAGATAGATATTCTTTAAATTCAAGGAATGGAATGATACAAGTAGTACAGCACTTTAGACCACAAAAACATAATCTGTAAGCTAACGATACAAGTATACAGCACTTTAGACAACAAAATCGTAATCTGCTAGCCATAAGTTCAGTAGACTTCTCCTATTAGTCCTATTTGAAAGATTGGCAGTAAAGTATGTGAAATAGTGAGCAACATCAGTGCAGACTGCAGAGTGTACACTACCATGAGTCCATGACACTGACAATCGCCACAACCTTTCAAGTGCCTAATCCAATAATCCACAACATCCAGGAAAGAATCATCAATCAGAACAGGAAAACACTCATGGCCCAAATGGCAAAAAATTGATGAGCAGAAAAGCACAAGGCTCATCAATCCATTGCCTTGCCCTAGGTGTTTAGCCAGAGGGAAGTAGCACATCACAGACAAGTAGATAACCCCATTGACTCATATAGATATATTCTAATTCACATAGCAATGACATCGAGCAATACTAGCGTTTTACAGGCTTGATATTGAGTGAAGCACCATACATATCAAATTATCAGTAACTGCACAGTTGCACACAGCTTATTCCGGATAGGTGAACATTAACCATTTATAGGATCAGATGCACTATCGTGTGTTCAGAAAATTTGAAGATTATGTTCAACGGTACCTGCTACCAAGGAAGAACACGCCAGTAGACCTGATCATTCCACCATCCAGAGAGATGGCTCCATCACTGATGCATGGAAGAGCATTAAGCATCTCAGCTCTTGTTCTGTAGACTTGAAGACGTGAAAATAGATTGTAGAACAATGTCTCCCTAAGGCCACAACCATTCGAAGTCAAACAAAAGATATGAGGCCTATCTACATGAATCATATTAACAGCAAAGCCAAGAAATCCAGCTGGAATGTCACCGGTAGGCAGTCTTGGTTTTGGAATATCAAGTCTCCTCTGAGGATCGCTAGACAAAAATTCACCAGCGTATGGTCTGCAAAAAGAAAGGTGTTAAAGTGACTAGCATACAAGCTTAGTAGACAACACAAAGTTTTGGAAATCGTGCCTTAAGTTTTCAAGACATATCACAGAGAAACGACCCTCCAAAGCTCGTCCAATAAAAGTTCCTGCGCCATGAATTCCAGAATCTTTATTTACAAGTCCTTCATCATCATATATTTCCAAGGCTTTGATGCCTTCATAAGTTTTACAGACAATTGTGAGCATAGTCTGCAAGCCCAAATACTCAGAAAAAAGCCTGAGTTTGCAATTTGCAAGCACAAACAAAAGAGAATAGTCAGTCTATTTCAAATATTTCAAAAGAAA